ATAATATCTTTTCTGAGATGATAAAGTATAACATTAGTTTCTCCATGATTACATATCTTTATTCTGTTCCTTGTAAGACTCTATAGTTCAGATATTAAAGTTGTTAAGAGCTAAAGGTTTTTATTCATTCTTGAATATTCAAACCTCACCCTCTCCAAGATTTATTACAAATTCTTATGGAATAGTCACATAAAATTAGGATTTTACTATCTGGCAAATGGTGGACAACAACTTTTTCCACCATCTCACCCTTTATTCTTCCCTGCATACTTCATTTGACCACCACTGCTGAAATTTGACAAACTCTTGAAATAAGATTTCAGGCTTTAAACAAATCTCGTGTCATTTGATTAAAGAACAAACTTCACAAAATCACTATGGGATCAAATACCATGACACAACATCTCATTAAGATTAAAAATCTGGTGGATAACATCATTATTGAAAGGTCCAAAGTGGACACCGAGGATATAATTCTTTAAACTCTATATGACTTACTACCCAGTTACCAAGGCTTCAATATAGCCATTCGCACAAATTTATAACCTTATTCACTTGAAGATTTCTATGCTCTTCTTCACACTGAAGAAAGTTACATTGCTCAATAACACACAAGAATTACCCAGCATACAACAATGTTAACATTCAAAAACAAGGGAGGCTACAACACGGCAAGAAATTCCAACAAGATCCACAAAAATTTCTGAAACATGCAACCCAGCAATTAGTCAAATATGCAACAAAGCGACGCATCGATACCAAGACCTGTAGTAAACTGTTAAATATTCAACAAGCGTGGTCACTTGGCAAGTCAATGTTGGCACAGAAAGAATCTCTAGTATAACCGGCCACAAATTCTTCTGTGACAGCATTTTCAACCAAGGACCAATTCAGTAACAAGATTGGATCCTTGACATCGGTGCAACAGCATATCTCACGCTTCATAACGATCTCTTATAAACTTCTCAACCATATAAAAGCTTAGAACATGTGGTGGTAGGAAATGGACAAAGCTCCAACATTGCACATGTGGTTAATGGAATCTTGCCTACATCAGATCATAAGTTAAAGCTTTCTCTATTATTTAGAGTACCACAATTGTCTCATAATTCAATATATGTTCATAAATTAGCTAAAGATAATAATTGTGTCATTTCTTTTGACACTAATAAGTTTCAAATATAGGACCTCAACACCAAAAAATTTCTACTAGTTGGTATGGCTTATCAAGGTCTTTACCCCATCACGACCTTATAATCTACAATAAGCTCAGATATCTGACATCAAAGACTCGATCGCTCACACAATAAAGCTTTGTCTATGGTTTCACATGTTAATCCTCATTCACTTTTCTTTTTGTACTTCAAAATACTTGGATTGTTATCAAGGTAAAAGTCAAAAAATACCTTTCAATCATAATACTACTAATAAAAATTGGAAATGATACTTTCTGACACTTGGGAAGATTTTTTCCATCCTTCGATATAAGGATGTAGATATTATGTTATATTCATAGATGCTTTTTCTCGAAACTCTTGGTGCATTACTTTACATCACAAATCTAAAACCACTGCTCAATTCATACATTTGCATAAAATGTTACAAAACCAATTTCAAACAAATATAAAATTCCTTCACTCAGATGGCAAAGAAGAATATATATCTAATGAACTAAAAGCTTATTTGCAAGATTAAGGTATTCCACACAAATATAGCTGCCCTTATACCCCCATATTAAATGGGATTGTATGAAGAAAACATCGTCACATTATTGAAACTCTTATAAACTCTTCTAATCTGCCCATCTATCATTGGCCTGAAGTTGTCCTTACTGCTACATATCTTATTAATCGACATCCTTCTACTAACACTCTTTATAAATCACCTTTTATTTCAAAAAAATGAATGAATATCAAAACTTAAGAATCTTTGATTGCTCCTGTTATCCCTGGCAACATCATAATATATTGCATAAATTCTCCCCCCAAACCCCTCCTTGTATGTTTGAGGGCTACAACAGTTAATACAAAGGCTAAAAGTGTTTCGATGTTCCGACAAAGAAATTCATCCTTCCTAACCATGTGAAATTCATTAAAGATATATTTACTACTAAAACATTTTCTATTGCTTCTCTTCACATAGAGTCACAAATCAATTGCCCATCTGCTTTACTTGTTCATATTTCCACTATCCCAATCACTGCTGATTCTTCTGCATCTACCCACCCTATTTCTATATATGTACCATGACTCCTTCACCTACTCAACAACGACACATCTTTAACTCTCCCACTAACCATGAAATGATCGTTTCTTCACCTAATTCCTATACTTCCTCTCCCATTCCCTCACCAATCCCTTCCTTTATACGTAGACAACATACCATGGTTACCACAACACAAATTTGAAACCTAAAACCTATACAAATTTTTGATCTCCAACACAATATCTCTACTTCAAGGGAACCAAACACTAACAGTCAAGCCACCAAATATTCTCATTGGCATAATGTCATGCAAAAGAATTTCAAACACTCCAGCAACAAGGCACATGGAACCTCTTCTCTACTCCTGAAATTCTAACATTTTAGGATGTAAATGGACATTCAAAGTTCAATATAATAATGAAGGCACAAGACATAAGGCTCGTTTGGTTGCTCAAGGATACTCTTAGCAACAAAGGATTTACTATCAAGAGACTTTCAATCTCGTGGCTAAGTTTTTGACAATTTGATTTCTGATTACCTTGGCTACGAACAAACAATGATATTCACCAACTAGATGTCTCCATTGCATTCTTACATGGGAAGTTTGATGACATGGTATATATGAAGCAACCTTAGGGATTCATTGATCCTCATTACCCACGTTATGTATGCAAGTTACATAAGGCAATATACGATTTCAAACAAGCGACGCGTCGATGGTATTCCAATTTTTGCACTTTTCTATGTCAACAAATACTTTAGGCAAGGTTGGTCCTTCTAACCTAATTTAGTAGCACAATAGCATATGAATTTATTTATTAGTATATGTTGATGACGTTCTTATAACTGATAACTGCACCAATAATATTCAGGCAATACTTGAAAAGCTTAGTAAGCAATTTAACTTAAAACAATTGGGCTTGATTTCTATTTTTTTTGGACTCAATATCCAACATATTTCCAATGGTGATCTTTTACATCAAAAACTGTATATAAATATTTTATTACATAAAAAAACATGAAAAATGCTAAACTTGTTCTGACTTCCATGTCAACCATTTCATCAAAATCTTCTGAATCCATAATATTGTTCAAAGATCCCAATTTATACAGACAGATTATATGACCTATTCAATATTTGAATGCCACTCGCCCGGATATTACGTTTTCAGTTAATTATCTTAGTCAATTCATGCATAAACCTACAAACCTCAGTTTCCAACATTTAAAAAAACTTATTTATTAATTAAAAGGAACTCGTGATTATGATCTTGCAATCACCTTTTTTGATCTATGTTTAGGCGCATATGCAGATTCAGATTAGGCCAGTGACCATCATGATCGCAAATCGACTACAGTTTTCTGTAACTATATTGGACAAAATCCAATATCTTAGCCCGCAAAGAAACAACCGACGGTGGCAAAATCATCTATAGAGGCTGAATACAGAGCCATTGCTACCACTACTGCAGAAATACTTTAGCTTCGACAATAAATAGAGGAAGTGATCAAGCAAGAATTATCTCCTACCACAATCTATAGTAATAGCACCTAAGCTATAGCCTAGTGCACAATCATGTCTTCCATGCGAGGACTAAACATATTGAAGTGTTTTATCACTTCATAAGGGATCATCTAAAGGTTCAACATATTTTACTCAAGCATATAATGACTACAAATCAAGTTGTCAACATTCTTACTGAATCATTGCTCATTGTGAGCCATCAATACCTGACCAACAAGCTAATGATCACCAAACATAATCGTTATCTTGAGGGGGTCTAAACGGGTAGGAGCTACTCTCACTTGATTTATCTGTGTTTATCAAGATCCTCACATCTTGTCACCTTCTATGGATCTCACTCTCGTCTTTTCCAGAGTAGCATGCGACCCGTTGGGGCCTGCAAGCAATGAAGATTGTTATTTATTTTATTGTAAAATGACTATTTTAGTCCTCTCTATATTTACTCTTTCGTCATTATTAATGCCTATATATATTGGCACTAATGTATATGAAAATTTAAATCATAACACCTCGTGTGTTAATGTGATTATGATTTAAATCGAACCGAACACGAACACTGTTCACGAGCCGATTTCAAACACGAACAGTTTCGAAAGAGCCGAACTCGAGCCAAGCCTGTTTCGAACGAGCCGAACACGAGCCCAACTTGAGCTCGCTTAAGCTCGGCTCGTTTACAGCCCTACCCACTGCTTTCTTGCCTCCAGGAAGACCCACAAAGTACAGCCCTACTTCTCCCTGATTCAAGTATTGTATGAATCCTCGGGATCCTAAATTTATCAACTTCATTTGGATCCTAACAATAAATAGCAACCATCATATTACATATCATCATGGATGTATAAGATCTAACTTCTCTCTATCATTAAACTAGCATATTTCGTAACTTCACAAATAAGTTTTTATAAAAAAACTCTGATCATTAATAATAATAATAATAATAATAATAATAATAATAATAATAATAATAATATGATATAACGATGATAATGATGATGATTATAAGAAACGAACGCAATTCTTTCTCTTGATGAAGTTGAATAAAAATAAACAAAGACAACAAGTCAAGCTGACGCCTGTAAAATTTATGCAGATGCATTGTTCTCGGTTACGCAGGGTCAATGCACAAGGCTGTACCATTCTGGTGCACAAGTATTCAAATTATAAATTTGTAATGATGCAAGAGGATGATTGTCTTATAAGTAGCAATATTTTGATTGCCTCGTATGTAAATGCACCTTCTTTTACTCCACAGCAGAATACTGGAACGAAAAAAAGAGGAAAAAAATGCTGCAGACTACTCATTATAATAGAAGGCAGTTAGTCCACTAGCATCTCTAATCAATATTTCATTCATTCAATCAAATAGTTAAGATAAAACAGATGGAAATGAAGATTCATTCTACCAAATGAAAATGCCTCAGTTCTTAATTTCCACTTCAACATTTGTCCTAAACCAAAGAAATGGCCAAGGAGAGCAGAGAAGAGAAACTAACTCTGAAGTTCAAACCTACTCAAGCAAACTGAAGCATCTACCATCAACCCTGAATGCTCATATTCCATGACAGAGAGAACTTCTTTCCGAGTGGCAATGCCAACCCACTCACCTCAACCGCCACACTCTTCCTATCTGTTCTTCCATCCAGCTTGGCAATGCCAACCCACTCACCTCAACCACCACACTCTTCCTATCTGTTCTTCCATCCAGCTTACTCTGATCCACTGAAGAAGCATCAGAGAAATGAACGGCAGACAAATCTGAAACTTTTTCCCCATCCACCTCCATCTGCATTCCTTCACCTATGCCTTCCAGCCCTAGCACAGCGATCTTCTCTATCAACAACTTCTCCTTCAAGCTAAACTTCCCCATCTCAACCTCTGACCAGACCTTTACAGTCTTCCCTTCAACACTCGCAAAGAACTCGACATATGTTGCCTCCCCATCGACAAGTTTCATTTCTGGTCGTTCATCATCATCAACATAAACCATGCCTTTGGCATCGCTCTTTGTTGCTCCAAAGGGGAAAGAGACCAGCAGGGAGAAAGGAGTTGTTCTCGCTTCCTTGGTTAGCATCCCCCCACGCTGCATCGGTAGAATGGTGTTTTGATACAAATGCACGTTCACCTCGTTGAGCGGAGCATCGAGGGTCACATATTGGTCATCTTTCGAGATCACGACCTTTGTTGTGTCAAACAAATTATACCACGTTCCAGGAGGAAAAATGGCTTCCACTGTGGTTGCACCTTGTTTTAAAACTGGAGAGACCATCACACTGCTCCCAAGTAGAAACTGAGTGCTCAGGCCATAGGATGCAGTGAAGTTAGGAAATGAGAAGAACACCGGTCTTGCAATTGGTGCACCAGAGATGTGAGCTTCGTAGTTCAAGGTGTAAAAATATGGCAGTAATTTATACCGCAGGCCTAATGCATTCCGAGCAGACTTTGCAACAGACTCCCATTGGTAGAGCTCCTGTCGAGGCGAGGCGAAATTGGCATGGTCTCTTGAGAAGGGATAGAAAGCACCGAGTTCAATCCATCGGTTGCAGAGCTCTTCAGTTGGAGCTGGGTAGAATCCACAAATGTCAGCACCAACCATTGGCATGCCAAATAAACCAAAATTCAATATTGTTGAGATGGAATATCTGAGATCCTCCCAAGTGCCCTTGTTGTCTCCAGTCCAGTGCGCCGAATAAGCTCCTGATCCCACGAAACTCGAGCGGGAGAGAACGAATGGCCTCTTTCCCTCCAGTTTCAGCGGGCCCTTGTTAGTTGCAATGGATTCGGAGAAGCCATAAAGGCTGTGAGCATTGTACTCCAAGACGCCATTGTGATGAACTGCAGTTGGAGCTATAGTTTTGAATCCAATTGGAGCTTGAATCCCGGATGCATTAATTTTGTAGGGAGGATCATCCCATCTTGTTTTTGTTATGTTCTTGCAATCCAAACAACAAACCCAGGGGGTTGGGTTATTGGGTATAGGACATGGATGTGTGGTTGGGACCTTGCATTTTCCGGTGCAAAAATTCGATACTTCGTTCATGTCAATCCAGAGGCCATCTACAGGTACTAGTTTGTGAAACCTTGCGATCTCATCAACCCACCATGATACTCCATTTGGGTTCAAGAAATCAGGGAAGTTAACAGGTCCAGGCCAGACTTGTCCTAGATAGGGCTCCCCTTCATACTTAATGAAAATATCTTGAGCCATTCCCCTAAGATAGACACCATAGGTTAAATTAACATTAATACCTGGATCGACAATGACTACGTATTTCATTCCTTTTGAGTGAATTTTGTCGAGGAAAGCTAACAGCTCGGGACGAGGGAAGTTGATATGGCTAAGTGTGAAGTCTTTTCTAGCATCCATATGATCATCATCAGTCCACATTACATCAAGTGGTATTCGGGCATTGTTGTAACCTTCAACAACCCCTTCAACAACAGACAGATTGTGGTAACCCCATCTGCATTGGTGGAATCCTGAAGAAAGAAATGCAACAATAAAAGCTAAGAAGCCTTTACATTAATACTACCATATAAGAAAAAACAAATAAAAGGAAATACAATTCTAATGTAATTAAAGTGATGATGATAGAAGTTTTGAGATTTTGAGAAGCCTTAATAGTTCATTGAAGGCATCTTTTATCTAACAATAAATAATTAAAGGGAATAAAAGAATTGTGAGCTTTAAGAGTAGAATCATTCTAGTGAAAAATTGAGAAAATCTAAATATTCATCCAATAAGTTCTTGAGTCTCTCCAGTTGTAATCATCTCTCTTTGAATCTATTTAGACTTTTGTAATTGATTCTTTATTGCTAGCCTTGCCCTTTTTAAAACAGATTGTATTACAGAATTAGTTATAAGATAGCTAATGAGTCACCTCCAAAGTTCAAGAGAGCTTTGGCTTGGTTTTAATTGCAAATCTTGGGGTTGTGCCAAGTGAAATTTGGTGGAAATTTGTGAAGTTCGGTTAGTGAGGTTCACTTTCCGTGGAACAAGTAGTATGCTCATGCCCTTTAAGCAAGATTGTGTAAGGGATTTTCCACGTGCTCAAGGAAGTGAAGGAGTTGGACTCGTGCTTTGAAGTTCGATAAGAGGAATCATGACCGGGGCCAGAACAAAAATGATACCAAACAAGCCATAATATTTTTTAGCGTAATATCATTTAGATTTTAAATGATGCATCTAAACTCATTTATACTGATCTATCAAAATCAATCCAATGGCATGACCCTGCCAATATCCATACGTACTTCAACTAGCCGTGGGACTAGTCATTGAAGGCTTTTTTGGAAGAATTTTTTGAGACTTTTTAAATAAATTTTAAAGCATATTTTAATTTTTTATACACGCACGCAAGCTCGCACGCACATATGGAGACAAAGAGGACAGAGATTGCATAATAATAAAAAACATTAGAGAACATAAAAGATTTGTGAGCTTTATGTGTTAAATCATTCTACAAAAATTTAAATAAATGTAGCATATTCATCCAATAAGCTTGAGTCTCTCTGTTTGTTATCGTCTTTTCTCAATCCCTTAAAGCTTTTGTAACTTATTCTTCATTGTATATCCTATCCTGGAATTTTTACAAGGCATTGTGAAGCAAAATTAGGTAGGTTATAGACATTAAGTCACTTGGAATTGTGCCCAATTGAAAGTTAGTGGAGCTTTGTAAAGGTCGATTAGTGAGGAATACTTGCAGTTTCAAGTCTGATTAGTGGAACTCTAATATGGATGAGGATTAAACATGTAAACAAACCAACTAGTGATGAACTACCTTAAAATTTTGATTGTTTCAATTTTGCTGTTTAGCTTAAATTCAATTTCTTGCATAATTAACATGTTCCATTTAACGTTCACATGATACATGTTTAGAATGACCGCATACTATTGTTGTTGAGTAGATTTCTTTATTGCTCTAAAACGTGCAAATACTCATTCTTGACATTTTTTACTTATCATCACCATATCGTGTGTATTTGGATATTTTCACTTGTGTAACTTTGGTGTATAGTGAATAGCTTTATCTTGTGAAGTTACCAGTCCACTTATATGTACTCACTAGCTTCATTTGATAAATTATACCACACACAATCACACACACACACACACATGAATGTACCAAATTCTACCACCATTAACTCAAGCAGAAGGATTCCAAATATTAGAAATTATCCATAGTAACATTTAAATTCATAATTAGCTCAAAATTAGAAAAAACCTCACAACTAAAATCTTCTTTCCACAAAGTCCAAATATTATTAGAAATATTAGCAAAAGCACCAAAGAAATCAATAATCTTAAAGTAAGATAGCATGGCATAAATAATCAACAATGTGATCATAAATATGAAGGCTATCCAAGGCCTTGTAGAAATAAAATTTGGAAGAGAACATTCATTGCCTACTAGGAGGAGAAAATCCATCTCGGATATGCATATGGGTGATTGCATTGCACAAAAGAATCCAAGGCATGCATGACATGTTTAGGTGAAAAATTCACAATTTCTTAAAAGGATGCACGCCAACAACTTTTAAGAAAGGAAAATTTTGGAAAATTTCCCCCACAAAACAATTATCAAAAGCATCTCTTCATATCAACAGCAAAAAATGAGCAAACAAAATATTTTCTTACAAAAACTATAGGGAATTTACATACAAACACACAATACTTTTGTATCTACATATCTAAAACCTAGAGTTTGATATTTACATTTATAACACTTTGTTACCATGAAACTATGCAAGAAAAGGTGTTATTTGCTTTTAAAAGTTTGTAATAGTAGTATTTTTTATGCGATATTAAAGATTAGAGTGTCATGCATGTAAATATGAAAGTTTAAATGTTAGATATGTAAATATATAGAAATTGTGTGTTATCTATGTAAATGCACCACAAACAAATACTCATGGGAAGGACTACCTAGAGACCAGTAAGGCATAGGAGCTGGCCTGCCAATTAAAGAAGTATACTGATCAATAACGTCAAGAGGCAACGGCCCCGAGAAGAAGTAGAAATCAAAGACTCCTCCAATCATCTTATATGTTAAAGAGCTTCCCCTATAGAAAACATCCATGCCATTGCTATTAAGCAGCAAGACTGCATGAGTAACAGCCCCTCCATTCCCATTCCTCAAGTCCACGTAAACAGGATGAGAGCCATAAAGATCCGTATTAAGATTAATGGCAGAAATATCAGTTGTATATAAAGTATAAGGATCATTTGGCTGAAGACGAATTCCACCAGCCTGTGTATTCTCACCCAACCCATAGAGTGAGCTACTATTAGGCAATCTGGTGGATATCTCCAGGTACTGGTCCTTGAAGACAAGGTTGGAATAAGGGTCTTCAGCCTCAGAAGTTGAGTTGAAGAGTGTCTCTCCATTGGATCTCCTCTTGACTGCAAACCCAAATGGATCTGATATGTAGCTGAAAATGAGCTCTTCACCTGAGTACTCTGAGGTCTCGAAGGAAAAACTTGAGAGTTTCTGGTTTGAACTCTTCAATGGTGGAGGCTTCTCTCTTGGAAGCAAGTTGTATGGAACTTCCCATCTCTCATTCTCTGCGTCAGTTATATGAACTCTCAACCGGCTTCTCGTTTCATGTCTGCATCGCATTCAAAAATTGTTTGAGAAGGAGAACACAAAAAGATTGTTCGGTTCACAATTGAAATGAAATCCTAAGTATCTGAGCAAGTTAGCAAATGGTGCTTGATTTAATAGCATTGGCTATAAGGATTATCTCTTTTGTTTTTTCCGTTTCTTTCCGCCATCTACATAAACAGATGAGAGAAATTGGAGAACAATTAATTAGAAGATCAAAAAATATAAATCCAACTTGTTAGAAAAATCATGAAATATACACAATCAGTAAGCCATATATTATTTTAAAATGTCATTGAACCCTGATTCCAGCAACTTATAAAAAGAAAAATTAAACCCTAGTCATGAAAGCATCTTTCCCAAATTTTATAATGCAGACAATCAAAAGAAGGGTAAGAAATCCTTAGTGAAAACCAGAAATTTATGAAAATGAAAAAGAAAAAACGCTTAAATTAAAAAAATAAAAAAAGCATATCAAGAACGGGAAATTTGTCAAGCAACTAAAGATCAAGCTTGTGATAACGCATAATCTAATGCCTTTTGGAACCCATATAAGATCAAGCAATGCTTGTGTAAAGAAAAAAGCAAAAGAAAAAAAAAAGAAAACGAATAAGAACAAAAGGGACTTTTCAGCTTCCACTTTACTGTATATACTGTGTTCTTACTTCACAAAAAGCCTCAAATGAGGTACATCAGGGCCATAAGTAGAGGTGCCCTTCTTCAGTAGGAGATGTCCGATAAGCCCTCCACCATTAGAATCCTCTTCAAGAGAGACCAAGCGGTAGCCATAGCCAATGTTCGGAGAAAAAACCGAAAGGCATGGCTGAAGAAAAACTTCGGAGAAGAAGACCGACACAAAGAAGAAGAAGAGCATTCTCTCTCCCCCTCCACTACCCAGCCAATGAATTTGTTAAATTGTCAGTAAACTTATGAACTTGATGCAGAAAAGAGCGGACGGGATATACGAAGACGATGGACCACAGTAGCCGAGGGCACGTGATACTGTTGCCTTTCAGGCACGTTATCACATATTGTTTTAAGGGTCGGAAATTTCCTCATAAAATCTATCAATCACTCCCTTTGCCGCCGAGGATCCGGGAAAAGTCCATGATGATTTCAAAATGGCTCTTTTTTGAATAAAATGGAAGGCAATTTCTTTTTGATATTAGAGGTATTTAAATCTTCGGTGGGCAAAAAAATATTATGTTCGGAGTTCGGAGTACGTAATATTTGAACAACGGATGCAATATAATGGGCGCAGCAAAAAAAAAAATTTGTGTCGATATAATTTGTGTCAATATATCGCTTACATAATATTTTTTCGTGATTGGGGGTTGTATGCAGTTTGTGTCGATATATCGCTTCTGTTATTCGGACATAATATTTTTTCGTGATTGGGGGTTGTATGCAGCTTAAAGTGCTAGAGAAGTTCTTTAAAAAGTTCTAGTAAATATTATAAAATTAATTTTTTTTGAAAAAGTTTAACTACAGCTTTCTAATAGCCACCGCAAGTAGTAAAATTTCATGAAAAAACACAGCTTTTAGCTGCAATTTTTGAAAACGCAGACAAAAAATTATTTTACAAAATATTAAAAAAATGTGGTGAAGCACCACACAGTTGTGGCACCGCCGACTGAAACAAATCCGAAGGCATCAATAGATATCCCTCCAAATCTAATATTAAATTTTAGATTTCTTTTTTTATTTTAGTTATTGAAATAAATTTAATCACGAATTCACATGCAAAATACTCAAGATCTCGAACTAGCTATGAATTTAGCTCAAAGATCATTAATCATTTAAAAATTGATTCAAATTTTGTCCTGGATAGAGACTGGATCGAAATAAATGAGTCGAGCTATAAGCCGAAACTTTGGATCAATTTTTTTTTGAGTTGATTGTGAGTCATACATGAATCGGCTCAAACTAACTTGAGATCAACTTGTAGTTTTTTTTTTTATTTATTTATGAAAATTATATATGGGC